AAGATCATTGACTTCGGTTTTAGATTTGAGAGCAGTATATAACTTGTTTTCCAGCTCTTCCTCATACATACTACCAAGTCGATGACCTTTATTGATATCTCGTAATGTACGCACATTGGTCATATTAAATAATAAGTACTTTATTAAAAAAACATCTTTCAAAAATCAATAGGTATCGATATAATAATATCAATATATATATATCAATACATATCAATACATATCGATACTTAGATATAATAATATCAATATATATCAATACATATCAATATATATCAATATATATCAATACATGTCAATAAGATTCAATACATATCAATAAATATTGAAAAATATCGATGTTTTTTTTTTTTTTCTAAAATACATATTAACATAAAAAGTGTTACTCGCCTTCATCAAACTTTCTATCGATCCAATGCAACCCAATTATCAGAGTCTGATATTAAGGAAATCAGAGATTCAAGAGGAAAAGTACCAAGTGCATCAAAGAAAATGGCAGAAAAATTTCATATTGGTGCTCGTCGTGTATATGAAATATGGAAGTATACTGAACGTCTTCAACAAGATCTTAAACATGCCAGCTTTTCAGCTGATGAATCACAAGATATAGAAGCTTCAGTTATAAAATCGTCAATAAAAAAGAAAAGTTCCAAATCTCGGACTAAATCTGTATTATGTAATAATGAGCTCCGTTCTCATATATCTGATTCAATACCTACTAATAACTCTACAGAAAAAATAAGTAGTGAGGATCTGGGCGCATTATATGAAAAAGAAGCCAGAAGAGATGAGAAAAATAAAGCAAATATGACTCGCCTATTAGCTACTACTAATCTATAATATTATCTCTGGTAGAGATATGTTCGAGTAGCTTTTCATAATGCATTTGCAACTTTTCACAAAGATCATTTATTTCAACCTTAGACTTGAGAGTAGTATATAGCGATTTTTCTAACTCCTCATAGCTCATGCGTTTTTTTTTTAACTCTGTATCTGTATCTTCAGAAATAGATGAAATTGCATTAACGTGATGTACCTCAATCTTATTTTCAACCTTGTGCATCGTAACTGGAATGTAAAAATCTTTCCCATTACAATGGAGCTTCATTTCGGATTTAGGCCAATCCATAACACATCCATGTTTTTCAAGGAAAGCATTACTTAATATCAACATAGGCTTATCATATTCAATAACTACAAAATCTAAATAAAATACACAACCTCGAACTAAGGTTAATGGCACATTATAAACCATTCCAATTGATTTTGTTAGGACAGTGGACGCCCCCTTGAAATAAAATGTCATGCTTTTATCAATTTTTAAACCCAAGCGGTCAGCAATATCCCTAGACATAAGTAAAGTATTGGAACCAGGATCAATTATTATGGCTGAGAGAACTAAACGTTTGATCTTACCCCGAACAGTTGGAACATCTATTACATCTTTATCCCGAACAAAGTTAATTTCCATATCTTCGATAATTTCTTCATCTTCAGTATCGCTTTGAGAATGGACTTCATTTATGGGATTAGATTTCTGGAAATTTCGTAAGATTTTACTTATAACCTCCTCTAATAAAGCAGAATTTATAAACTCGCTTTGGATTATCTCACGAATTTGTTGCTCTAGTAAAGTTGAAGCGGGTTTTTGTGATTCATGTAGTGAAGCTCGTTTCGGAATTTGCTTTTGCGAAGATGTTTTATTTGATATCTTTTTAATAGGTAGACTAGGTCGCTCTATTTTTTTTTAATTCTGTCTACATCAACATTGGAATCTCCATTGAATATATTATCCTCTTCTTGATCGGAAATAACAGATCCATCAGGATTTTCTTCTGTATCAGAGTGGCTTTGTTGGAATCCATCAGCAAAATTCACACGACCGACTTTTTTCTTGGAATTATTAGCCATCATATTCTTAATTATGGGACAACTGCGATAAGTATGTCCTGGCCTTTTGCAAATCTCACATTTGCGCTGGATCGGCTTAGTACTTACTCTAGGACCTCTAGCCAGATTTATTGATGAATTCGGGGAGCTGGGCAATAATCCTTCAGGTTGATCTAATTTATTTGCAAGGTTGATAATTGCGTAATCAATTTCCATCGGTTCAAATACTCTGTTGTCTTCAATCTCAAGGCCCATATCTGCGTAATTTTTTAGATCTTCATAGTACTTAGCTTTCTCAGTTTTTGGGCGGAAATTACGTTGAAACGTGGGTTGTTGTACAATCTGTTGAGGCGGTTGGAATACTGGCTGTTGAACGATTTGCTGAGGCGGTTGGAATGTGGGTTGTTGAACGATTTGTTGGGGTACCTGAGACACCATCCCATTCATACTATTTGCACTTCCGTAATTAAATGAAGAAGGTTTACGCTCCATCCACATATTCTTGAGATTAGTAAAGAATGCATCAATGTCCGTGGGTTGTGCAACTTTCATTCGAGTGAAAAGTTCATCAGGTAAATGTTTCATAAGAAATCCTAAAGCATTGGCATCATTATTAGGCACTCCTAATACAAAGGGTCGAATTCTATTCTCATATGTTTCTGGAGTATCAGTAGGCATGAACAATTCGGATGCCAATCTTTGAATTGCGACTTGTTGAGTTCCAACCATTTCTTGCTGATATTTAAATCTGAGCCAAGTTCTGAATCGTGCTGGAGTATCAATATTTGTTCCATTTGGATGTTGCGCAGGAACTGGTAAATATTTTCCTCCCATTTGCGATTTATAAATATCTGCCTTGTGAGCATCTGTAAAAGTGTTTGCATTGGCAGTATTAGCATCAGTAATAAGTGTATCGGCATAAGAAATTGCTTGTGCAATCCTATTGCAGTAATCATCTGGTGGTTCCTGACCTATGTAGGTTGGAATTTGGGCAAGTTTCGGTGCAATAGTTAGATATATATGTTGTCTTGATGCCTGAGCCATATCTTGTAGATTATTCTGAAGCGCTAAAATTTGTTGATTTAAATTTATTATTCTTAGCCGGGAATCTTTTTCCTTATTTTCCCATTTTTTATGCTTCGCTTTTTGTTTGACATGCTTACCCTTCCTTTTTACATGCTTCCTACGCCAATTTTGTAAATCAGCTTGACATGTTTGCAATTGTCCCGTCTGGAAATTATGGGCATGATTAAGAAGATCGAAATTATTATTTGCAGTATCCAACCGAGCCTGTAATTGTATAATAATTTGTGCATCTCCCTGAATTTGGGCTTGAAGTTGAGTTGCTTGATTATTCAACCCCGCAATCACCTGACCATATTGCTGATACTGGGTTTGTGCTTCGTCATTTTCCCAGTCAGCGATTTCTTTCAATCTATTTGCGGAACTAGTGATAATATTAAGTTTGGTCAAAATATCTCTCTGATTCAATTGAGAAGATTGTGGCCCTCGAAAATGATCATCAATATCTCTACATTCATCCTGAACCGTTTCAAAAATGTTATTGAGTTCATTGGGCCTAGGTGATTGAATTGGATCAGACATTGAAAGTTTATTATACTTCCGAGAGGTAATTTCTCGAATTTTCTTTTTTAATACGAGCACTTCCTCTTCGAGTGTAGCCAACTGTTGTTCTCGAACAAGTATATAACTCTCTGTTTTATCTACATCCTTTAAAGCAGACCGGAGACGCTTTTGCAAATCAGATAGCTGGGATTTGAGTTCCTGGATCTCTTTTTCATGAGCTATGATTGTGGTATCTTGAAATGAAATGGTCCTACTGCATTGTTCTAGCTCTTTTATGAGAACGCGAATTTTTTTCTCGTTTGTTTGATTTATAATTGTCTCCGCATTAAGTACCTTCCTCAACTCGTGATTACTTTCCAGCAATGCTAAATAAGCTGGATCGAAATCCATGTCAAAAAATTCCGCTTGGTTTATAGTATTGATTATAACATTTCGCAATCATGGCAATGAGTGTACCTAGTATTATAATCAGTGCAGATGAGGAATTAAAATTCGTTCTTCGTTTAATCTACTATCACGTACCTGGTTTTTATACAACCACAAAACAGTTACAAAAAGCTTGTTGGAGAGAAGGGTACGAT